TTTTTATCCTGTTTGCTTTCATTTGTTTTCTACGGTGCCTTGTAGGTGTTGCGGTTGGAGGCCCGGGGGCTGCCCTCCGCGGCGTTTTGTACCAGGCCGGTGGGTTCCGGGACGCCGCCAAAGAGTAAGATGCTTGTTTGGCCCTGAGGGGGTTGTAAAATAAAAGCAAAGGGGCGTCACGTTGTTCGTAGGAGATCACGTTGCCCAGAGAAGCCGTGGCTGCCCCCTCCCTGGCAGTGTCCAAGGCCAGGCTGGATGGGGCTTTGGTTTTTTAGGTGGAAGGTGTCTCTGCCCATGGCAGGGGGGTGGGAACTGGGTGATCTTTGAGGTCCCTTCCAACCCAAACCGTTCTGTGATCCTTGTGTTAAACTAGGAAGGTGGCTAACCGCCTTCCCCTGCAGCCTGCCAGCCTCGGTGAGGCAGGTTTCTGCACCCTATGGTGGTGCCCAGACCGCAAAAGTGTCTCTATCGGACTGGGGAGTGCAATTCTGAAGTTCAGGTCCCTCTGGTTTACATTAAATAAGCAATAGCAGCTTAGAAATGCTCGCTGCCATGTCTCTGAACAGCTGCTATGTAGGCCAAGAAAGTGAAAGGTCATCACCATGGAAACAAGGATTTCTGTTCAGATGAACTGCAGTAAGAAAACTAAAAGTGAAGGTCAGGTAGCAGTGGGTCTGCGTGGAATGTGTTCATATTTGTAGGCCATGCTATGAGCTTGACGCTTCCTTCCTGTTGACCTTCCCCCTAATATGTTGGCTGCTGTGATGCTTGACCAGGCTTAAGGAGAGCTATCGTTACATTTGTCTTAATATAAAGAAACTTTGCAAGTTGCCTGAAATTTAATGGAAATGAGCGTGGCAAGTTGCTTTTTTAATGAGGTGCAAAATCTGTTTTTGAACTTCAGATGTTCGCCCTTGTCTTTTGACATGTTTGGATTATGAGGGTCAAAAAGCATCCTGTTTTACAGAAAGAGAGAAAGACTTGCAAGATCTGAATATGTTCCAGGCAACAGTACTGAGAAGCTGCAGAAAACTACCATGGCCCTGTTGTGCTAAATTTAGTTATAATGCTTCTTGCTCCGTAGGTTCGCAGGCAAGGCAGTACATGGACCTGGGTTTGTGTGCTGCAGTGCAGTCAACATTCAGAAGTATTTGAACCCCGTGTGTCCCTGACCAAAGTCAAAACATGAATACACATTTTAAAGAGGGATATCTCGAGCAAAACGCTGTTTGTAAATAGAGGCTCACTGATTTGGTCAATAGGATTCCCGTACCAAGTTAGAGATCCAGGTGCTTAAACAGCAAAGCTCCGTGGGACCATGTGTAGGAGTGGTCAGACCAGTTGACAGCTAGTGAAAAGATCACTGAAAGCGCAGCTGAATGCAGACCTGTGACTTCCCATGTTACCTTCTTAATTGCCAAGGCAAATAAAAGTGTGGTTGTTCCATTAAGAAAGCCTTTGCTGCGTCGATTGATATAAGCTTGATTGAACAACAAATCACTTTTTATTGTAAATTTTTTCTTTTGCATTATTTTAAACATATTTGAGATGTACTTTAGCATCAGTTTCTAGATTCGTTGTCCTGCAGCTCTGATTTCAGAAGGTGTCAGGAGACTTCTTAGGCCACCTCTTTCAGCCAGCTGCTCCCCCTGCAAACAGTTAAGGTTAGTTAAGGTGTGTAGGATGCAGCTGCCTTTTTCAGTTTCTAGCTGGAACAGGGTGTGCAAATTTGCTTTGATAAAACGGTCATGTTTACTTAGGAAGTCAATGATGGGGAATAAACTTGTAATTTTTGCACACCACCTTTCTGAGTGCAAACATCAGTAAGAATGCATCTGGGAAAAATATTCGTGTTACTGATTCGGGTGTATTGTTCTTTTGGCAAAGCAATGTGAATACAGATCAGGTGGTACAAAGGTTGAAGTACCCCTGTTAAAGTGTCTGTACCAGTTGTACTAGACTATGATTAAAAGCTGAAACATGTATCTTTTTCGCATATCCAAATACTACCGTTTAAAGTATTTTTCCAGTAGCACTTACTGCGAATGGTCAAGTTGAATGTTACCTGCCGCCTTGGTTTCTCAGGATGCCTTAACTTTAATACTTCAGCTTTTGCCCAGCTTTTGCTTGCCTGTCATCTCTCTGGGCATTCTCGTTTTAGTGTGACCTTCCTGTACGCTTCTTGGAAGAACTCTTCAATCCTGAGCAATGTTTCCTCGCGTAGCGGTAGTTTCTACAGGCTGCCGTCTGGCTGTGCCAGCCTGTGCAGGGAGTCAGGCTTCTCTCAAAAGTGGCTGCCCATCCTCCTGCTTCCCCCTGCCCTCCCTCCCCGCCCTGCACCTTCCGTCTGGCTCAGAGAAGTACGTGCCTGAAGTTACTCAAAAGTATTACCTGTATATTAAACTGATACTTTTTGTTTTCAGTTGTACTTACATTAAGAACTCTGTATTTCTTTCTTAAATACTTTACTTTTAATTTCATGTGTGTATTTCTTCTGTGATGTTTTCATTTGGATGTCGCTAAAGAGTTGCTTCTATTCAGAACTAATTATAGTAACTCCTTGGCTCATACAAGGTATTACTATAAAATACTAGTAATGGGGGAAAAGTGCATCTAGTTTATGGTCTGGTAAAGTAGATGTGCGGTTCCAAACTGTGCCGATAAATCTGCGCAACAGACTGGAAATCTGTTGAATTACACTGCTGGCTGGAAGTGGTGCAACTCATAATGGAGTTGGCTTTGCTGTAGCAGATTGCAGTGGTGGTGTATCTTCTTAATGTGCTCCCAGTCCACAACAGTAACCACAACAGTATTCGCTGTTGGATCAGCTTCTGGAGGATATCATTGGCACAAGCATCCACGGGGTATTTGGTACTCTCTGAAAGTTGCTGCTTTCTCTTCAATTGTTGGCTGCTTGTCTGGAGAATTTAGCTTAATGAAAGTATCCATGAGGGAGAAGAAATAAAAGCGTGCTAACATGAAGCGTTAGGAGAACTTCTAAGACTTTTTTTTTTTTTTTTTTAACAAAGAGGTCTCAAAACAAAAATAGAAAGTGGGCACAGTGGAGACTGGAGGAGATAAGGTCTTGGGGAAATAATGCAAAACTGTGTGAGACAATTCAGTTGGTGGGTCACGCAAGTAATACTGAGGCAGTAAGTGAAAGTGTCTCTTACTCTGCTGCTTTGTCTTTTGGGAGTCATCCCTCCCTACTGCTTCAAAGTTGACTATTGCAAGAGGCTGGCTATTGCTATGTGTGTTTGTTATGTCATCTGCTTCGCTGGCTTGTTCATAGACAAATATTATCTCTTTAGTCGCATATTTGAAGAGCCGGGCTAACAAGCTGTCTTAATGTTCATCTGAGATAGGAAGGTGTCTGTAAACCATTTGCAGTGATGCAGAATTGAAGCACGGAGAAAAACAGCTCTTGTGAGGAGTCTGGCAAAGCAAGGAGCAAAAGGCATTATCTCATGAGTTTCAGCAGCAAAAACTGTTAAGTGCTAACTAGAACTCTAGATTCTTTAACTCAGTGTCTTAAAATTTTCTACTTCATAATGCCAGTATTTAGTCTAATAATTTCTTTCAGTTTGCTTTTTGTACTAGATTTTCTCAGAAAGTTAAGATTGTATGACTAAGATCACTAATTAACAGCAATACAATGATGATAATCCTCTTTGTGCCGTTTCCTAGATGGAGTGGCACCACAGGGAAGCACCAAGCCGCTGGCCATCAAGGCACCAGCTGAATTTTGTAAAATGTCTTCTAGCTCTCTCCTAGTATCTGCAAAGAAAGGTGAGAGCATATCTAGTACTAACCTTGAGGAAGCTTCGGAACCTTCTCCTGAAGACTCGAGGATGTTCATGTCAAGGAAAACTGTGGTGGCATTTCCTCGGCGAGTAGTTGTTTCCTCCCTTGAGGAGGAAAACCTCACTACACCTGCAACAGAAGGAGGCTTGAGGAAGGAGTCAGTTGAGGAAGAAACTTCGTCTTCATCCAGCTCAGATTCAGATTCTGAGGAAGAAGATTATGATGATGATTCAGAAGTTTCCAGTAAAACCAAAGCTGAGTTTCCTAGACGAGATTCCGTCTTTTCTGAGAACATAGCGGTAAAGGCATCAATGCTAGCAAAAGAGAACTTGTCCCAGAAATCCCACAAAGAATATGTAGCTAAGAAGAAGCCACGCAAAACAGAAACTGATCTGTCTCCTATCAAGCAGGTCAGATTTTCTAAAACTTCAGTCAGCCATGAAACATCGCAATCCAAGGCAAGAGACCCCAAAGTAAAATCAACTCCAAAAGAAGCCGATCGGCAGAAGCTGGGCTTAGAACCACACATGGTTGAAAGCCAAGACCTGACCAATGTTACTCGTGAATCTGCTTATTTGGAGGAAAAGTCCATTGGAACCCAAGTAGCAGCTATCCAGCTGAAAGCTTCCTCGGTGACTGAGGAAGACAAAAGGCAAAAACTGGTATCCAGAGAAGAAAAAAAGATGAAGGAGGCACAGGAGTCAGAAGCAGGAGTAGTAACTGCTCCTAAACTAGAGGAAGAGACTTCAGAAAGCACAATGTTGGCAATGGGCACTACAGCAAAGGAGGAGACCGTTCAGGAAGGAGGAGTCCAGGCTGGAGAAAGAGGCACAATAGAGGGTACAACTTTAAATTGTTTGAACTGTATTGATTCGTCTAGGCTAGGGTTTAACTCTTTTTTTTTTAAAGGGTTTCCAAGCCTTCTCTGTTCATGATTCTCTGATCTTTATACTGAAGCTAACCATGTAGCAGTGACCTTCTGGAAGATAAATTCTTATTTATTGCTAATTGTTATAAGTCCTCAGTAATACTCTGTTTCTAGTTACGTAGTAAAAGGAAGCGGTCTTCATTTCACCGTATTTTTAGTTTCATAAACCAGTTACTTATAAAATGAAAACAAGATTGTTTCCACTGTGAGCAATATCATGGGTTTTATATGACAAAACTTGTTTTCCCTCTTCTGTTCTCGGAAGGATTTGGTAGCTGCCCTCCTCCTTAGCCAAATTGGATGCCATCTGATTTTTGCTTAAATCCTACTGTCTTTCTTTCTCTTTTTTTTTTTTTTAATTTTATTTTAATTCTTGCCATATTTTGGATTTCAGTAGACTTCAGGAAATCATAGTGTAATGCCAGAAACAGGTATTGATTGTGAGATTGGTAGGTTGTGAGTCGTGTTGAAGTAACACAGGGTACCTCATAACCTAGTTTTTGTAGAGGAGACAGTGATATGTTTTAGGAAAGGGCATTGTGCATCATCTCCCTAGCTATACTTCCCTATCTGACTTACCCTTCTTATTTCCTACCAGTCCTGCTAACTTCCCTACTGATCTCATTCTGTTTATTTCAATAGCAAATGCCCCTCAGTCCTGATCTGTGGTGGCTTACCGTTCTTGCCTTTCAACTTGGGCAGCATACCATTCTTAAGACCCCGCTTCTGGTTGCTGCTTTGAATTAAAGAATTTGCCTACTCGGAAGTAAAAGCAGCGTAATTGTAAAGCTGCTTGGATATCATCCTTCAAGTGACACCCTTGCAGAAAAGGCCCTGGGCTCCAGGTGGACACCAAGTTGAATGTGAGCCAGCAATGTGCCCTTGCAGCAAAGACCACTCACTGATGGTGACCTGGGCTACGTTAGGAGGAGTGCTGTGGGCAGGTTGAGGGAGGTGATCCTTCCCTGGTGAGAGGCACCTGCAGTGCTGTGTTTAGTTCTGGGCTCACCAGTGCAAGAGAGGTGCGGAGCTACTGGAGAGAATCCAGCGAAGTGCCGCTACGATTGTGAAGGGACTGGAGCATCTCTCCTGTGAAGAAAGGCTGAAAGAGCTGGGACTGTTCAGCCCGGAGAAGAGCAGGCTCAGGGAGGTTATCATCAATCTGTGTAAATACCTGAAGGGAGAGTGCAGAGAAGACAGAGGTAAGACTCTTGTCAGTGTTACCCAGTGACAGAACAAGAGGCAGTGGATACAAACTGATACTCAGGGTTTTGCCAGAACGTCAGGAAACACTTTTGTTTTACTGTGAGAGTGATGGAGCACTGGCACAGGTTGCCCAGAGAGGTGGTGGAGTCTCCATCCTTGGAGACATTCAAAAGCTGTCTGGACGTGGTCCTGGGCAGCCTGTTGTAGCTGTCCCTGCTTGAGCATTTGGGGTTGTACCAGGTGACCTCCAGAAATGTCTTACAACCTCAACCATTTGCTGACTCTGAAGTGTCTAACCAGGTCAAGTGACAAATAATTGCTTTTGTATCTCAGTTTCCAGGATACAGCGCTGAGTAAGAGACCTGCCTTCTGTTCTAAGGGGTTAGTCAGCTCATAATTTGATCTGTTGTAAGAGTTGGAAGTTAAGCTTACCTTCTTCCCTGACTACAACTCAAATGGTGAAATGCAGGACTGTTTGCAACTGGCATTTTCATTTACTTGTTCCTCCTTTCAGTCAGCAGCAGGAGCTTTATTAAAAAAAAAAAAAAAAAAAATTGGGAAAGGCTGTTTGTATTTACAGATGATGCTTTTCTCCCCTTTCATTCACAGTGGAGTTACGGATGCTCAAGCATTTTATTTTTTTTCCCCACATTGAAACCAACATGAAGGCCCAACAAATGAGTATAAGAGGGAGGACTTGGTCTTAAAATGTGCTGATGATTCAAGGTGAAGATTGACACATCAGAGATCTATGAAATAGCCTCCTTTACGCTGAAGCTGTAAATCCAGAAGAAGGTTAAGCCCATGTGACCAACTTTTCCGCAGATCTCTGTTGACGGGGCAATAGTACCGCTGTGCCTCTGACCCACCATCGTCATAACCACACCAGCAAAATTCTTTTGGGTAGGACCTGGCTTTGCTGAAAACAGCACTTTTGCAGCTGAGCTCCTCTTGCTTTATGGAGGTGGGAAGGCTGTGACAGCAGGAAAGTTTCCGTTGGGTACGTGCTACAGGACTCTGCTGCAGTGGCTGTAGGAGAGGTGGAGGTTAGTACAGGCAAGTTCACACCCCTTTACTGCTGGTGTAATGTCTTCAGGTGCCAGAGGGTAATGGAAGAGTCAAACCTAGCTGCACCGTGTTCAACAATGTCACTGGTATCTCCGGGCACATCTTGTTCTCTTTCCTTTTGAGGCCACCTTTGAGAACAGCTCCTGCTTTACCATGTTTAATGTTCACAGTTAATGACACCTTTTGTAATCTGTACTTCTGTCCTGTTCCTGTGTTCTCTTGTTCATCTGCAAACTCTGCAGCAGGCACACCGAAGATGTGAAAGCAATTTTTCCCATTACAAACCTGGATGTTAAGGTGATGTCATCCACTTTGTAGAGCAGGCATGCTAAGCAGGCAGCAAAAACTGCTGACTTTAACTGCTAAGTAAGTAGCAAAATAGTAGCACGGTAACTCAGAAATACACCTCTGATTCATTTCAGAAGAACATCCTGTGAAACACAGCTCTTTAGGAGAGAAAGCGTAGATGAAGTCTGAAGTATGGGGAGGATGAACTCGGGGAGATTTTTCCTTCAAGAAGCCAAGTACATGTATTTGGGCGGGAAAAATGACACTCCATCTGCTTTTCTTCCTGAGCATCTGCCTCTTAATTTGGAACAACTGTCTCTTGCAGGTTGAATGTACACTTGCCTACGCTTGCCTGTTCTTGGGGCTCTTTGCAGCAAAGACCGCATCATCTGGCTTTTTATATCTGTGGTGTGGTCTCCTATGAGCTGTCTCAGTAGGAACTGAGCAGTAGGCACAGGGATATTTCCTTTCGTGGGCTGTGTGTGTGTTGTTTTGCTGAGACCACGGCTTAATACATTGTGTTTTATAAGCAAGTCTTGCTAAATGTTACAGATACATGCTCTTAAACTGATAGCGTTACATTGCAATAATTATGTCTTAATTAAAGGGAAATTCTGGTGTTGAGTTGCTTGAGTTCTTGTATTTTTATTGTAGATGGTTGTATTACAAAAGGAAGCTTAATACGATCTAACCTAAACCACTACATAAGAATTTATGAGACAAAGCTTTTCACTAGATTATGCTTATGTATTCCCTATTGTTAGAACTCTGGGTATATGAGAATAAATTAATATTGGGAGTAAAGTTTTGTTTCTTGCAATTACTTTGGTTGTAAAATCTGCCCATAACAGGAACCTTTTATGTAAAGGGTACTGCCTAAATTTGCCTAGTATTCTAAAAATGTAAGAATTAATGTGGGCTTTAAGGTGACGAAGTAAGGAGTTTTGAATAACTTTATTAGGTTATTCTTCTAGGAAGAAGAGCTGATACAAAGTTTAGAAGATTATATTTAAAACAAAGGAAATTTACATCAAAGGCTCTTGATGTAGTATTACTCAGTATAACCACATTTGAAATTAAACTGTGGAGATCTGAAAAATTCCATCACTTCTCCCCATGGAAAAAATTCAATCTGTAAAGTAGTTCCAATAGCTGTATCTCACGGTCTGACATGATGATACATCATTTGTAGTGCTGCTTTGCCTCTCCTGGCTTGCTCAGAATGTCACCTACTGTTCTGTCTGGAGTGAAAACCAAGGCAACTATGAAAAAGCCAGGAAATGCAGACATCATGTCTTAAAAATATAAATGAAATGTTCTGCCCTGTCCAACCCCAGCATTAGGTGGTAATTTGGGTTTTAAAACCTGTGCTGTATTAGATAAATTGTGCTGATTCCTGTTCCCTTACTGCATACTAATGCGCTGCTTTAGGGCCAGACAAGGTACTTGCAGAACTTAGTAAACTTATCCTTTTGTTACAAAAAAGTTGCTGACTTTTTTTTAACGTTGAATGGATGAGGGATCTGATGGTATATGAAGGCTGGGCTCAGCAATTAAGAATATTTCCCTCCTGTGTGGCATCTTTATAGTCACCAGGTACTGTTTGTTTTCACAGGGACCACAGCAGCTGGTGAGCCTGCTCCGGAAGAATTGGATAATTCTACCTACCAGAACCTTCAGCATCATGAATATAACATTTATACCTTTGTTGATTCTGTTGTGGTTCTCTCAAAATTCAGGCAGCCTCAGCCATCTTCTGGAAGACCATCACCAAGGCACTGAAGGAACCCCATTTAAAACAAATGCCCAGGCAGAATGATGCACTGTTCTGTTAGCGCTGTTGCTTCATCTGTATTACAAATCAAATAATAAATAAATATTTGCATGATAACTTATGATTGTGCTTTTGAACAGTTCTTCTTGGTTCTTGGGGTCCCTCACCTCTTGGGTTTTTATGAATGAGATACAAATGAATAATTACTGAAAAAAAATAGCTTTTCTACCTCAGTATATATTTTTTTGGTGATAGTGTAAAAAGCGCCTCCAAACTTCTGAAACTGACCGTTCTTTTAGTACCGTGTCAAAGAACGTAATGGCCCTTCTGCATGTGCCTGTTCAGTATGTGCCATGACTTTAATAGGTATTGTTACCGCTGTAGTGCAGCGGGCTGTCCTCCTTGCACACAAACATATTCCCAGCTCTGAAGAGGTTATGTTTACTCTGGATTTGAAGTTAAAATCATTGGCTGGAAACAGCATAAAGAGTGTTTGTCTCCTGTGGCAAGAGTGCATGTTTTGTGTTAGTAGAGGAATGTAGGCTTATGTAATGCGATTGAAACATCTCAAAACCTCTGCTGTTGTAAAGGGAGAACATACAACTTCATTTAATCTTCTGTTGGGGCTTCTAGCATCCAGATTCTGCAGTAATTGAATTAATTTAAAATGTAAGAGAATCTGTGGGCATTTCCTAATGAACTATATACTACATTGATTAAACTCTTGAGAAATAATGTATTTCTATGGGTAGAATCAGTTGGATGTTATTTTTAAATGGGATTAAAATAGCATTATGGTAAAATCAGCTCTTGGTACTAATTGTTCAGTGGAACTATGTTTGAGTTCCCACTTCCTCCTCCCCCCCCAATAAAGTTAAGATTGCTGTCCAGCTTCACTACAGAAAGTGAGAGAAAGGAGGCACTTCTCAATCTATGTTACCAGCAGTTACAAAATTTACTGAGACCAACTGTATTTCCACCCTATTAGTAACAGTCTTCTGCCCTCTGGGAAAACTGCCTTGATGACCACCAGCTGTTGCGGGTTTAGTTCCATTTTGGCTTTTTGTTCGTTTTGAGGTTTTTGGAGTTAATTGGTCTTTGAGCAGTTGCAATAGCTCCGGCATTTTCCATCACCTGTCTGTATTCCTTCAAGCAACAGAATACACAAGATCAAAGGGAAGACAGAGTCAGCTTTAGGAGTCTATCTGGATATCGGACACAAATCCCTGGGTGCAATTAGTAGAACAGCTATTTTATACTCCTAACTTGGCAAAAATGTGGTAGAAGGATCAAGAGGCCTACATCAATCTGCTGTGTAGAATTTTAAGTCAGAAACCTCTGGCAAGCAATTTTATTGTCCTGTAAAAACTAAAAAGCATATTACTCTAACTATGAAATATAAAAATCAGCAAATTTATAAATCCATGTGCTTAGGAATAAAGAGCAGAAAATCACTTTGAGACACCGGTGGTACCACATACACTGTACTTGTAAAAGGGAAAGAAATTTGCTGTTAACATTAAAAACATGAAAGAATAAGGAAAAGGGTCTTCCTTTATTAAGAACCCAGCGGAGGGCCCCAGTAAAGCTGCTGTGTTTTGTTACTAACTGAGACTCACACGTAGTAACCCGAACCCTGTAGCTTAGATCTGTGTTGGTGCTGAACTGTTCCTGTTTGGTTTGTGATTTCGGAAGGAGGCTGCAAATTGTCAGAAAGAATCTAAACAGTCGAAGTTAAATGTAGTCCGTGAATATGCTTATGTATTTACTAGAACTGCCCACAGTAGCTGTGACTGTTAGCTGTTTGGAGTCAGACTTGTTCACCTAGTGCCCTTTTTATTTCTAAGGAGGGTTGGTGCTATAAACACTGACTTAATCAGCTGAGGAGGAGTGGGTTGAAGCAGAAGTGTGTCTTGCTTTCTGTCAACTCCTACACTCTCCTTAGCTAACATTTCTAGCTAAGGAGGTTCTCATCTGTATTTTGGCTGGGGATTTTGCTACCCTTGTTTCACAATTACAGCACAAAGTAGTGGTGAATGCCCTTCCTATCTGTGTAATCCTGTTTCAAGTGTCTTCCAGTGATCTTTTCTGCACCTCTAAAATCAAGCTGGAAGTCAAATAGCTTCATAACTCTTCTGGCACATGTGGTATATGTCTTACATTTGTTCTGTTCAGTGACCCAGTCTGCTCCAGGAAAGGAAGATAATGTGAGGAAGGGCAGCAAGACTTTTTTCCACTGTTGTGTTTTCCTGGACTTCAATGAAAAAGGCCTCATTTTTTTGTACTTGGCTATTATCAGATGTTATCGTGTTTGAGTCATATGCTAGCATTTAAATTTCAAGCAGGATGTGACACAATATGCTCAAATTCTGTAACATTAGTAACTTTGTCTTGCTGTGCTAGGCACTTGTCAGATACAGTCAGGGGCCTTGTTTTAAAGAATGTACAGTCCAGGATATTAGCATAATTCCTGGAAAACCTCAAATGTGAAAGAAATTAAGTAGTTTAGTTTTTGAGAAAACCAGCTCTTCAGAATGAGCATAAACTTCAGAGGTGAGGTTTTCAATGTAAATAGTGTGTTAACGGTGGGAGTACATGAAAATCTGGAAGTGGAATCTGCTTTTAACATCATGAAAACATGTTGAGAACTTTTAAGGCTATCTCAGGATAATGTGCAGTTCTTCTTTCAGCTGCTCACAGTAATGAGAACGTGAACTGAGAACAGTCACCAGACGGTCCAAGTCTGATGAAGATCTGTAGAAGAGCAGGACTTCTTAGCTTTATGCTGATCAGAATCCCACAGCTCATAAAGTGCTTTGGTGAGATTTTGTGATCTTGTGGCATTTGGGAGGAAGAGTAGGAGAAACTGGTGAGAGCAGCGGCTTGCCTGTTCCAGTTTTAATTCCTGGTGGGTCCAATCAATGACTTGTGCAGTGAGTGAGCAGGAAGTTCACAGTATCCTGTGGCATCGTAACATTGGTATTGTGCAAACCCGGTCTGGAAGGGAAGTCTTGAGATGATCAGTCCTCTGCTCTGTAGCAGGTGCAGTTAGATCTGTTTGTCCTGGACCTGTCCTGTTGTGTTTCGAGTATCTTCAAGGACGGAGATCCTACAGTCTCCTCTCTGGTCACCTTTTCCAGCATTTGAACACCCCCATGATTTAAAAGACAAACAAACAAAAAACCCAGTAAGCAAAACCTTTACCTGTTATCTAACTGGAATATTTGGTTTTCTGATACCAATACTTACTACACTCCTCTAAGAAGCCTGGCTTTGTCTTTCCTATACCCTCCAAGGAGGGAGTTGAAGGTAGTAATAAGGCCCCCCTTACTCTCTTCTTCAGACTAGATAACCTCCATTCCTTCAGGCAACGTCCTTCAGGCCCGTTTGCATCTTTGTGGGGTCACAGTGCACCCTCACGCTTCCTACTCTGTTCTGTAGCAACACAGGTTGCCTAAGTGGTCTCTGACTGTCTTCCTCTCCATAGCTTATCCTTCAAGGTGTAACATGCTAGAAGGGGGCTCATGTTAATTTTCCTAGTTTTTAGTGTGGAATCATCCATAGGCAATAGGAAGGGACCTGGGAGACTCCTGTTCCTCAAGATGCTACGCAGTGACAGTAGTGCGGGGCAGGTTCGGATCCCTGCTGTGTCCTGCTGTAAAAACAAACAAAATCTTGGAATTGTTCTTGGCCCGGGTAGTTCCTATCTGCCTGTGATTTACAACCCTCCTACGCCATTCTCTATTGTATGCTCTTGTTTGCATATAAAGTTAGACAAAACGAGCTAACACAATAAAGGTAATATAGGCACTTTAGTACAGGTCCTTTGAATGTTTGAGTGATTGACTTTACAACCGTGGTGTTCTTGTATTGCGGCTTTGCTTGTTTGTTTGTTTTAATTTTATCCTTTCAGAGAAACTCCTCTAAACTCTAGATGATTTTAATTAAGCTCTTAGGACTTTAAACAAAATATCCCATCAAGTTTCCAGATCATCCTTCTCCTCTCAGGTGGTTCTATTTAATGGAATTATAAATACTTATCTTTTCTATGATTCTGTGGGTTTGGTGCTTTTACATATTGTCGTCAGTGTTCATCTCAGGATGATACCACTTCCAATACAATCTGCACGTATTTTTGAATTCCCTTTTTTTTTTTTTTTTGCCCACACACATTCAATTACATTTGGAAATTCATACCCACCTCTGAAAGTCTTAGGATATGTGACAGCTTTGGCACAGAAAAGACTGTGTTAATGCATAGTTAGGGACATAAGTTTAAATGTGTGTTTTTATGATAATAGGGACATAAGTTTAAGTGTGTGTTTTTATGATAATAAAGCATCCCACAAACTTTGGGTCAGTGTATGGAGTCAGTGGATCAGCTCTCAAAATTTATTCTGGTCTCCCCTGCACTCTCAAGAAACTTTTAACTGCAAGTAACAGGAGCATGGTTCTGTAAATCTGTAGTATCACAGAATACAGCCTGTATGCATGTTAACTTCTAAAGCTCACAGAACCCCTGCCATGTGTCAGTTAAAATCAATGCCTAAAATTCTTAGCAGTCGTCGTCTTTGTTTCTCCAGCCTGATATATGCTTCAAATGGCAGTACCTCGTTCCAAATCTGAGTGGTGTTATGAAGTCTGAATAGATAGTTCCTAAAGTAGTTAATATCCAGGAATGTAAAAAATGAGATAAGTAAGATTATTTATGCTTTCATTTTTTGTTTCTTGAGTTTTTGATTCATTTTCTGTTTCTGTCTTGCCTCTCTCCATGGTTATGAGGTGCTTTTGGTATTCTGTTTGGCTGTTTGCACAGCGGAGATACACTTGGTTTCGAAAATCTGTAACAGCTTCTATCTAGCATCAGAGGGGGAACGTGCAAGCCACAACACACCTTGTACTAGGCAAATGCTAATGTCTTGTATCAAAGAAGGGGGCAATAGTTCCTTTTCCCTGGAGGCTTGGAAAGGGACTTGAAAGAACCACCCCTTCGCGCTTTCGTTTCTTA